GTACCTTATCGGGGTCTGCTGTGTCAGCTATCTGCGCAGAGCCAGGGCAGCACACAGAGGAACACACACACGCAGCCGACTGTTATCATCATTGAACAGAGCAGAGCACCATATTACAATCCCATTTCAGGAAAGATGTGGAGAAATTGGAGAAAGTCCAGTGAACAGCAACAAAAATGATTAAAGGTCTAGAAAACGTGACCTATTAATGAAGATGGGGAAAAATTGGGTTTGTTTAGTTTGGAGAAGAGAAGACTCGGGGGGTGGTGGGAGGGGGAGAGACATGATAAAAGGTTGTTACAAGGAGGAGGGAGGGAAAAATTGTTCTCGTTTAACTCCTGAGGCTAGGACAAGAAGCAATGGGCTTAAATTGCAGCAAGGGAAGTTTAGACTGGACATTAGGAAAAATTTCCTAACTGTCAGGGTAATTAAACACTGGAACAAATTGCCTAGGGAGGGTGTGGAATCTCTCATTGGAGGTTTTTAAGAACAGGTTGGACAAATACTTGTCAAGAATGGTCCTCTCTTGAGTGCAAGGGGACTGGATTAGATGATTTCTCTACGTCCCTTCCAGTCCTACACTTCTATGATTCTATTCTATGATTTACAAAGAGTGAGATAACAATGGACAAGATAAGCCAGGAACATAAAGATGTACATGGACAGCGTGTGAACAGAGCATGCTGTACAGGGATTGGTTCCTACAAAGTAACCAAGCCAATCCCAAAACATGTAAAGTAGGGCTGTCAGGCGATTAAAAAATTAATCAAACTGTTAATAATAAACATTTATTTTAATATTTTTGGATGTTTTCTATATTTTCAAATAGATTGGTTTCAATTACAACACAAAGAACAAGCAGTACTTGTGGCACCTTAGAGACTAACACATTTATTTGGGCATAAGCTTTTGTGGGCTAAAACCTACTTCATCAGATGCATGCAGTAGAAAATACAGTAGGAAGATATATATATATACAGAGAACATGAAAAAATGGGGGTTGCCGTACCAACTCTAACGAGACTAATCAATTAAGGTGAGGTATTATCAGCAGGAGGAAAAAAAACTTTTGTAGTGATAATCAGGATGGCACATTTCCAACCGTTGACAAGAAGGCATGAGTAACAGTTGGGGAAAAATTAGCATGGGGAAATAGTTTTTAGCTTGTGTAATGTCATGCTAATTTTGTAATGTCATTACACAAACTATTTCCCCATGCTAATTATGTAATGTCACTCACATCTTCTTATCAACTGTTTGAAATGGGTTTTTTTCTCCTGCTGATAATAGCCCACCTTAACTGATTAGTCTCGTTAGAGTTGGTATGGCAACCCCCATTTTTTCATGTTCTCTGTGTGTGTATGTATATATATATATGATCATATATATGATCTCTTCCCAAGACTTTCCTGTAACTAAGCTGACAGTCCCTTCTCTAGTTTCACTTATGAGGAGTATACAGTAGCCATTTCGTTGGGCTTAGTTCCTTTCCCCCCCCCTCTACTTTTAATAAAATCTTGTTTTAAGGAATTCTACTATT